TCCAACATTATCTCAACTTATACTGCCTCCCCTCAAATTAAAAAATAACTTCTTATCGATACTTATTTACGTGCTAATTATAATTAGTCATTTTTAAACAATTTGTTTGTGGTCAGTTATTGTTGCGGCATTAAGTTTATAGTTCTTTTTGATAAAGTTCTAAAATAATAAAATTTATTTCAAATTATTTGATTCATTTTTTATGATTGTAGTAAATTAATATATACTTTGTTGCCACTAATTTCTATTAATTTGTAGAGATTTTTTTTAACAGATTATCAGCAAATATTTTTAAGAGCTTTAATAAAAGTGATTAATTTTAACAGCTGGTCAAATAGCGGGGCCTTCTATATATTTATTTTCCTATATAACGTAACGTAAAACTTCAAGCAATAAATAATTGCAAATTTAACAGAAGTATTTAAGAATATTTATTTAAATTCTTTTGTCTCTGCATTCTATGTAGGAAAATTTTAAGAAATAATTAAAATGTTAAAGAAATGATTATAATATCAAATTTTCCTTTGTCTGCCTAGTTAATTAGTCTAGTATTCAGATTCAATTGAAATATTATTAAAGCATTTTAATGTAATTTATGTACAACATTTCTTCTTTTTCAATATAATTTGTTAATGTTAACCAAACAAATTGCTTTTACATATTCTAATTTTATGCATTATTCTTTAAGAATTTTTTTAAAATTATATTAACATAAGAAATAATTTGGTTTAAAACAATTCCATTCAATAGCATAAAATAAAAATATTAGGGATATTCAATAGATATTGCGTATTGATTTGCAAAGGCTTGTAAAATTTGCCAAACATACACTTGTCATTATCTATGTATACACGGTTGTCAGATCTTACAACGTTGGCAGATAGATCTGGCAACAGTGGCAATAAACATTGAATTTTACAACCCTCAGCTAAATTGTTCTAATATAAATAAATAATAATTGTAATTTACTGAGAATTTTCCATATTCATTGACATCTTGGAAAGTTTTAAGGAAATTGTATAAGTAATTGCTTAGAGCTTATAAAGATATAATTAATTTTAATTGAAATTTAATATTGTAAACAATAGGTGTAATAAAGCAATACATATAATGTATTATTTAAAAAGTATTTGTGTTATAATCAACAATTACAACTTCCCAGACAGATTTTAAATTTGATCTCTGAACTTTATACAATATTTTTTTTCTTCCACTAACTGCACAGTTTATTAACTTTAATGAAATTTTGACGTAATTTTTAGATATAGAAATATTTTTTTGTATCTTACTTAGTACCTGTTATTTATAATATTAACAATTGTTTATTAATTAATTTAATTTCTCATTTGAATTATTTGTTTACAAATAATTAAAAAATTCTCATCGTCAACTTTTAGATATATGTACTAGCATGACAGATTTATAGCATGTCGTCATGTTAACATTTCCATTGCACTCTTGAATTGATTTTGTTGAATTGATTTGAAGTATAGAAACGAATTGCAGAAGAAAAGCTCATAAATGTGAAGGTGTTAGATATTTAGGTAGGAGTATTTCTTTAATAGTTTGGATCTTTGGATTTTGTGTGATTATGTCACAGTAGCGTTCAAAAATTATTATTATTATACTATAGCTTAGACTATACACTAGACTATAGGCTAGTCTATAGATTAGACTTTAGATTAAACTATAGACTAGACAATAGACTGGACTATAAACTAGAAAATGGACTAGAATGTAGACTAGACCATAGACTGGACAAAAAACTATACTATAAACTAGACTAGACTATAGATTAGTCTAAAGACTAAGCTATAGACTAGACTATAGACTAGACTATAGACCAGACTATAGACTAGACTATAGACTAGACTATAGACTAGACTATAGACTAGACTATAGACTAGACTATAGACTAGACTATAGACTAGACTATAGACTAGACTATAGACTAGACTATAGACTAGACTATAGACTAGACTATAGACTAGACTATAGACTAGACTATAGACTAGACTATAGACTAGACTATAGACTAGACTATAGACTAGACTATAGACTAGACTATAGACTAGACTATAGACTAGACTAGACTAGACTATAGTCTAGACCATAGACTAGACCATAGACTAGACTATAGACTAGACTATAGACTAGACTATAGACTAGACTATAGACTAGACTATAGACTAGACTATAGACTAGACTATAGACTAGACTATAGACTAGACTATAGACTAGACTATAGAGTGGACTATAGACTAGACTATAGACTAGACTATAGACTAGATTATAGACTAGTCTATGAACTAGTCTATGGACTAGACTATGAACTAGACTATATACAAGACTAGGCTATGAACTAGACTATATACAAGACTAGGCTATGAACTCGACTATAGATTAGACTATGAACTCGACTATAGACTATACTTTAGACTAGACTATAGACCAGACCATAGACTAGACTATAGACTAGACTAGGGACTAGACTGTGGAC